AGAGAGGAACGATGGTTTGAGAGAGGAGTAAAGGAGGCCATCTTTGTGAAAAGAAATCGTCCATCATTAAACAGGGGTTCAACTGTCAACTGTCCCCCTCTTACAATGCTGTTATTGCTAGTATCACTCAGCCCCCTATGAATAGTAAACAGCCAGCAGTGTGCTAATGATCCATTGTTAGGCTGATGGTCCTTCTTGACCATGTGAGCAGCTGGTTTTGGTTGTCAGCAGCAAACTGGTTGATCCACTCTGAGAAGGTGCTGTTTAAGAGACTGAGCTGAGTACAGCACCTCAGACTGAAGAAGTCTCTCGGATGAAAGACGAAACGTATCTAGATTTTTTTTGCTTTTTTTTTTTTTTAAAGTCCAGAGGACCAGATTGAACTTTTTTGGATTTTTCTACCTGGATTATTGAGCATGCATCAGGATATTCATGATGGAGACTTGTGCACAATTTAAAAATATATGTTAATGAGCTTTTCTGTTGCTCCATCGCATCTTTGTGTGCTCAGCAAAGCCAACTGACTATATATATGGCAATTGTTTTGTGAAATTTGGTTTAAAAAATAAAGTAAATATGTTACAAATGCAACATACTCTCTACTTTCAATGTTGCAATAGATAGTGATAAGAAGTATCCAAACTTTTATGTTGTAAGAATTGTTAAAACTTCCTCTTGTGTGTATACAGTATACAATGAGTTATGGATATCTAAGCACAAAGACAATTATTTAATCAGGCAAATCCCATTCAACATCACAGATTTTTTTTAATTTTTTTTAAGGGAGGCCTTGGGAGGAAACTGGAGTACCTTGGAAAAAAAAACCCACTCAAACACTATACAGAAAGATCCCAGAGATTGGACCTGTTGAATTTGTGCTGTGAGGCAACAGTACTAACCACTAAGGTTTACTGCTTGATTACATCAGACAATTTTAGAGTTTTAGCATAGTTGAGCTGCTGGAATACACCATTCAAAAAGTGATTCCTTTTATTGTGATGCAGTTTGATCTGTCTGGTGGCAATAAAGTATTGGTAAATTTCTGTTCCTTTTGTCGCTGTTGTTCATTGTTGTCATCATTCTTTGTTGAAATCAGGTCGCTCTTGTAAATGAGTCCTCGAGGCTCAATGGGATTTACCTGTAGAAATAAAGGTTGAATGAATGAAATGTTCACATACTTGTGTAGACGCTTGGTCATCCAGGTCCTAGAAATCTGAAGAGCATTTTCATTGTTATGCCAGTTTGAACAAAATTGTTTGCTTTGTGTCGCTTTTATTCTGTGTAACAAAAGCGTCACTTGGGTGTGGTGTTATGTAAAATAAGACAGAATGGGGCAGCGATCCTTTTACAAAATGACAAACAAACATTCAGTTTCTGGGATATCTGCTTGAGAACTTTGAAGTTCTGTATTTATTAAATAATCAGTAAGTTTTTGTGAGTGTGTGATAAACTCTATCAGGGGTGTCTCGTCTTCTTTCTTCATTGTTTTCTTTTCTTTCTTCAGATTCTCTGGCGTTCCACCCAGTAATCTCCGCAACAACACCAAGCTTGTGGACTGGATGCCTCAAAATGACTTATTGGGTGAGTCCATCAGTCGGACATCACTGTGTATGTCTGTCACACACTCATTTTATACAAAGTAGTTGTCTTGGTGGTGTGACGTGCAATGTGCTGTTTAACAAAACCAAAGATATGACATGTTTAGATGACAGATTTGTGTTAATGTGTGTAAGCCGTCTTCTGTACGCGTTGAATCTTTCTGTCGATGAAAGCAATGTTAGTCTTTCTTGCTGATTACAGCCTGACAACCAAATTTTTAGACATTACTTACAAAAACCAAAAGTTGGTTTACTATATTGCATTTAGACCCAAAACAGTTTTTTTTTTTATTTGCTGTAAAACAGTGGAAAGATGTGCTGCACTTTCTTGGATGTGCTACAAACATGTTGAATATTTAGTTAAACAAACCCAATTAAAAGATCTCATCAAAAGTTACTAATAGAAAGACTTTCAAATAAACTTCCCATTACCTCTTGTCGTGTAGGCCACGCTAACACGAGGGCTTTCCTGAGCCACGGAGGCCTGAACAGCATTTATGAGGCCATGTATCATGGGGTGCCAGTGGTGGGTGTGCCTCTCTTTGGAGACCATTACGACACAATGACGCGTGTTGCTGCCAAAGGGATGGGTATCATGCTGCACTGGAAGTACATGACGGAGGACGATCTCTTCGCTGCCCTGAGCAGCGTCATCAAAGACACCAGGTCAGGTTATATTAAATCTGAATTCACAGACGGACACTTTGTGTCTAGGAAATCTTTTGCAGTGTCATGTAGTGGTCAGACATTGCATGACTTGTGAGGGACTCAAATATTCAATCCCATTTATCTCTTTTTTTATCTAGGTATCGCCAGCAAGCACATCTTCTTTCCAGCATTCACAAAGACCAGCCTGGCCACCCTGTGACCAGGGCCGCTTACTGGATCAGCTACATCCTCCGTCACAATGGTGCCAACCACCTGCGCTCAATGGTGTATGACGTTTCTGTCTATCAGTACTTCCTACTGGATGTGATTTTCACTCTAGCAGTGGCCATGGCTGTCACAAGCTTTTTGCTGAGTAGGCTGGTACGATTGCTTAAAGGGAAGCACAGCAGAGGAGGCGCTAGTAGGGACGATGCTACCTTGACCAATGGACATTGCCATAGTGAGAGCCTTGCCAACGGGAAGCACAAACGCAACGGCTCCTGGAAAAGTGAGAAGAAGCTGAATTAACGGTTTAACGGCAAAGAGAAGAAGACGTTGCCCCGAGCACTCATTCACTAGGTTTGTTTCATCGCTTTAACGAAAGCTTGGAGTAAAAGCTGTTTTTAGGAGGCAACTTCTACTCAGATCCAGTGTGAGCCTGTAGGAGGATACACTATGCATCGAGTGGGGACAGAGCAAGACATCAGGTGCTCGATATCTGTGTGTATGTGCGTGCGTATGTGTTTAGGTGAACGTTTGTGTGTAATGAGGCAAATTTAACAAACAAACAAAAAAACGGCAACTACAGCATGACACTGGAAAGACACATTACAGGATGCTGTTTCTGTACGAGCATCTCGTCTCCCTCTTCTTTGCTGTCTTCCTGCCTTCTTCCCCAATAGAAGGGCGATGAAAACAGGGGTCAGGTGGGGGGAGGATCCTGAGCGCCAACCGTTCATCCTCAGAACAAAACACAGCATCCAGCAGCTCCGGAGATATTAAGAATTTAATGTTTTAAACTGCAAACACTAAGTGTCTGGTAAACTGTAAATACAAGATAAATCTATTTATTGCTGCTCTGAAGCTTTTTAATGACACACCTTTTAAACTTTGTCTTGTTTTTAATTTATTTCATTCATCAGAGGTGTGACTGTAGATAAACACTCCCTGCTCTAAACTCACATGCGTATGGTTGATCTCTCTATATTTAAAACGAATACCGATGGCAAAAGTCATTCTAAGCGTGTCTCGAAACCCCGTGCTCTCTGCTCCAGGATTTTCTGCAGTATTTACTGTGGTAATCAAATAAACACTTTTCCCATGGTAGTGCCAACTGGTGATAGTGTGGCACTGTCATTGTATCCTCTCTGACCTTTGTTCCGTGTCTTTATGTGAAAATGTGGTCACTTTAATATAAAAAAAACCCACCGCAATTAGAAGCACTAAGGGTAGTAAAGATAGATAAAGACAGAAAATGTGTTCAAGCCTGGCCAGGCAGGTGAGTGAGGATGAGTTTCTTAATTCTGCATTCCTAATCTATTTAATACAGAAGTAAAAGTTCATTACTTGAATGCCATGTTGAGTGCTACACTTGACTTTGTTCAACCTTCGTTTAGTTGTTGATTATTTCTTAATAATTCTTACTGACATTGCAAGTGCTTTTTCTAATTACTATGGTTTGGATAGAGTTCTCCACTAACCGTTTTCACTGTTTGTCTGATAAACTTTGCCGTTCATGTCCAAACCAGCAGCGTTTATTTAATTTCTAATCGTTTTGAGCATGAATGAATCACATTAACAATGTGGCCTTTTCTAATGCAAATTGAAGTGTATGGCTGATTCTATGAGTAAACATGTGCTTGTTGTTTCAGTGTTTTTCAACATTAGACAGCGTTAGACTGAGTGTATGAGTGACATGTTTTAGTCCCTGGAGATTCTAAAGTTCAGATATGTTTATGCCCCAACACATGCATAAAAAAATAATTTTATTCAAAAGATATTTGTCCTGAGTGACTTTTTTTGTTTTCTGTCTCTCAACCTTTATTGAAAGGACTCTTTATTTTATTAAAAAAATTTTTTTTTTGAAGGGGGATCTGTAGGAAGGTTATGAACAATTAATTTCTTACCTGTTGTAGAATGCTCTTTAGAGAATTGGTTCGATTCTGTCCGGTACGCTAACGGCTCGTCGGAGCTGAACCAGGTGGATTACTGCCACAATAAAATAACGTCAGTCAAAAAGGTTTTATAATGGTTTATAATCAGTGTTTGTTTTAATTGAACACTTAAATTGCCTTCAGTTTTGCATTGATGGCAATCTTGACAGAATTCATGATATTCCTGAAGAAGGCGCTCCAGGCTGCACTACGCTACAACTAGCTGTTGCCGTTACTGCTTGCACTTACAAATAATAGAATTTCATTGAAATTACTGTGTGACGTGCAACCAGCTGTGATGTAAAAGTTTACAAATACAGGTTTTCGGAGAATAAATTTGTAAGTTATGTGGAAATGCTTTGTGCAGAAAGCCAGGTTTGTCTTGTCTCTGCTTGGACTTTTTGTTGCCCTGTCCCCCCACCCCCATTCACCACAGCTGTGTTGACTTGGGAGCTTCAACTCATTAAATGTGTAATAGACATCTGCCTCATGTCTATTTTTAAAACATGATGAGAGAACTCGGCTCAGCAATCCTCAAAGTCCTTGATAATAAACAGCAAGATGTAGATTTGATGCTTGTTGTTTTGTGCATCCCTAAAATAGGATGGGGTTGCAACAAGGTGTTGCAATGTAGTTCCGCCTGCTACATGTTTGTAAATTAATTCAGAGCTATCTACAACAGGTTTTGTCCATAACCTATCTAGAGAACCTATCTGAAAAGAACTGAATTACCACTTTTAACGTCTCTTAACAGCTGTTCATTTTAAATGCAAAGTTTAGATTGATTAAAAAAATAAATAGACGCCTGTTTTCCAGCTTAAAGCACTTGTCAGTCAGTGAGATTTGTTTGTTGGGCACAGAACACCTGTTCCAAGAATTATTCCAGTAAAGCAGTAAGATCCTTGTGGACGTAACCACTCTGCCACACAAACTGCAATTTTCTGTCTATATTTTCCACAAACATCTACTTTGCAAAGCTAAAAATTACAGTATCATTCTAACAAAATAGCTGTTCAACTAAATATAGGCTCAGTTACAGGCAAAAAAGGGTAACAAATGATAAAAACACCCCAAAGTGTTTATTTAATTAATTTAAAAAAAAATTTTTTTTTTACTATTATCGTTTCTTTCTCTGTGAGCTACAAATACACTTGCACAGCACAACCGAGCCCTACTGAATAAAAGAAGGAACCGTTTTACTTGAATCAACAACATAATCATCCATGTCAGCTGCTGGGCTTCACCTGCAGGTGCTGCACAAGCTATGAACAGAGTCTGAAGCATTAGGAAACGTTAGTGAAGATTTCTCTCTTTATTGCAGGTGTAATGCTATTTTATTATTTTTTTTTACCTACACAGGTATAAAATTTTTCATCTTTTAATGTTTCTAAAGTAACTGTGCTGAATTTGCAGTCTGACTATTGCTTCCAGTCTTGAGGTATTTGTCTGTCCTCAACTTGAAATCTGAATTTATTAGTGCACTTGCTTGTTTCGCCGTATGTTTTCAGCCTGTTTCTTACTCCATTCTCACGTTTTAGATCTTTTCTGGCTTAGTTTAGATTTTATTTGTGCTTCATTATAAAATGACACAAAGTTCTTTTTTTTTTTGTCAAGTGTGTCTGTTGTAAATAGACTGTAAACAAGATACTAATGCTGAATAAAAATGGCAGATTTTGTTTGCAGAGTTGGTTGGATTTTTTTATATATATATATATAATCTTGGTTAACCTGCAGAAACTGGAATCACTTCAATGAAAGTAAAATGCATCCGAGATTAAAACGATTTCAGAAGTTTTTGTTTGCAAACTTAAGACTCTGGCTGGAATCTGAATTTCTATCTTCATTTTTTTTTGATTTTCAAATATATTTTTATTAAGCACCCATAGATAACTACGACGGAGCTTTAGCGCCATGCTATTGACAAAAAAAATCACATTACGAATGAGAATAAAGTCATAATATTACAAGAATAAAGTCGTACGCGAATAAAGCCGTAGTATTATGAGAATAAACTTGTTATATTATCAGAAATCCGACACGAAAAAGCAGTCTTACAACTGCGGTAAAATGATGAATGTTTACGTCGGAAGTACAATAGCAGGGGGACCAACGCATTGTGGCATATGGATTCTTATGATAAACTGAAGCCATATGGTATTCTAATTAATGGCAGCATTGACGGATTTAGTCGTCACATAATGTGGATGGAGGCATATTTCACAGTGACCCAAAAGTGATCGCGTACTACAGGTCCTTCTCAAAAAATTAGCATATTGTGATAAAGGTAATTATTTTCCATAATATAATGATAAAAATGAAACTTTCATATATTTTAGATTCATTGCACACCAACTCAAATAGTTCAGGTCTTTAATTGTTTTAATACTGATGATTATGGCATACAGCTCATGAAAACCCAAAATGCCTGTCCCAAAAAATTAGCATATTTCATCCCACCAATGAAAGACAAGTGTTTTTAATACAAAAAACGCCAACCTTCAAATAATCGTGTTCAGTTATGCACTCAGTACTTGGTCGGGAATCCTTTTGCATGAATGACTGCTTCAATGCGGCGTGACATGGAGGCAATCAGCCTGTGGCACTGCTGAGGTGTTATCGAGGCCCAGGATGCTTCAATAGCGGCCTTAAGCTCATCCAGAGTGTTGGGTCTTGCGTCTCTCAACTTTCTCTTCACAATATCCCACAGGTTCTCTATGGGGTTCAGGTCAGGAGAGTTGGCAGGCCAATTGAGCACAGTAATACCATGGTCAGTAAACCATTTACCAGTGGTTTTGGCACTGTGAGCAGGTGCCAGGTCGTGCTGAAAAATGAAATCTTCATCTCCATAAAGCTTTTCAGCAGATGGAAGCATGAAGTGCTCCAAAATCTCCTGATAGCTAGCTGCATTGACCCTGCCCTTGATAAAACACAGTGGACCAACACCAGCAGCTGACATGACACCCCAGTGACTGTGGAAACTTGACACTGGACGTCAAGCAATGTGAATTCTGTGTCTCCTCTCTTCCTCCAGACTCTGGGACCTTGATTTCCAAAGGAAATGCAAAATTTACTGTAATCAGAGAACATAACTTTGGACCACTCAGCAGCAGTGCCAGGCGAGATGCTTCTGACGCCGTTTCTGGTTCAAAAGTGGCTTGACCTGGGGAATGTGGCATCTGTAGCCCATTTCCTGCACACGCCTGTGCACGGTGGCTCTGGATGTTTCTACTCCAGACTCAGTCCACTGCTTCCGCAGGTCCCCCAAGGTCTGGAATCGGCCCTTCTCCACAATCCTCCTCAGGGTCCGGTCACCTCTTCTCGTTGTGCAGCGTTTTCTGCCACACTTTTCCCTTCCCACAGACTTCCCACTGAGGTGCCTTGATACAGCACTCTGGGAACAGCCTATTGGTTCAACAATTTCTTTCTGTGTCTTACCCTCTTGCTTGAGGGTGTCAATGATGGCCTTCTGGACAGCAGTCAGGTCGGCAGTCTTACCCATGATTGCGGTTTTGAGTAATGAACAAGGCTGGGAGTTTTTAAAAGCCTCAGGAATCTTTTGCAGGTGTTTAGAGTTACGTCGTTGATTCAGATGGTTAGGTTAATAGCTTGTTTAGAGAACCTTTTTATGATATGCTAATTTTTTGGGACAGACATTTTGGGTTTTCATGAGCTGTATGCCATAATCATCAGTATTAAAACAATTAAAGACCTGAAATATTTCAGTTGGTGTGCAACAAATCTGAAATATATGAAAGTTTCATTTTTATCATTACATTATGGAAAATAATGACCTTTATCACAATATGCTAATTTTTTGAGAAGAACCTGTACTTGGTAAACACAGTAACTCGCACTGGAGGCTGTCCACTGCAGGTGCGAGCCGAGCTCAGCTGACCCAGGAACAGATTATGACTTTATTCTCATAATAATACATTTTTATTCTCGTAATATTTCAACTTTATTCTCGTAATGTCTTTTTTCTCGTAGTGTAATTTTTTTTCCCTTAGCATGGCTCTAATACTCCATTGTAGATAACAGATGCATGTCCAAAGAATATACTTAGAATATTGCTCACATTTTTTACTTTTTGT